GGTGGCCGGCTCAGAGGCCGTGGGGAGGCGCTTGCAGGGTTCTGGCCCGTTTTAGTTGTGGCGGCTTGCAGAACCGGGCTGCGAGCTCAGGGCTGCCTCAGGGCTGGGGTGAGCCAGGCTTGCAGCTCAGGCTGGGGTTTGGGCCTGCCTAATTTTGGGTCAGTGGGAGAGTTTCTGTTCTATTAGGGGGAGCTGTGGCCTCTGATCAGGGCTGGTGGGTTTCCGCCGCCCTTCCTGAAGCAACGTGGTGGAGGCTCAGGGGCGCTGGCGGCCTCTCGTCCAGGCAGGGACGGGACAGGCCTACAGCGCTGGCTGAGCTGACCTGTGGCCTCCGTCCAGCTTGGGGCTGGAGGCTCAGCAGGGACCCTGGGGTCCGTGAGCAGGCGCTGCTGGGGCCCGGGGGCACGACGCACCTTGCCAGCGTAGTGGTGGATGACGAAGCCGGCGCTCCAGCTGTTGAAGTGCTCGTGGGTGCCCACGGCCGCCTGCAGCTTCTGCAGCAGCGTCTGGTCAGCCCCGCCGCCCGTGGCGTGCATCGTGGCACACACGTCGTCCAGCACGCTCATGATGCCCGGGGGGCTCTGGGGAGCAAGGCAGTGGGGGGGCAGCTCAGGCAGCCCCGCCCCCACCCCAGAGCTCTCAGGGGGAGGGGGCGGGGGTGGCTCATACAAGATCAAAAGGGGGGGCTGTGTGGAAGCTCAGTGGGGGGCAGAGGGGCCCCATAAATTCTGCTTCTTTTCTCTCCCGAGACCGAGGTCGCCTGGTGGGGGACCTTGGCCCTTCTGTCCCTGGGCGGCGCCCTCTGGGACTGTTGTTAAGTGAATAACGACAGGTGGTCACTGGGGCAGAGAGGGTCAGTGGCCAACGGGACACTGCGGCTGTGCCCATCTGCCCAAGGTGGCAGCATGAGGGCCAAGGTGGGAGGGGTGGGGGGCTCTGGCCCCTCCCTGCCCTCCCAGGCCCAGGGGGCTCCCCCCCAGCTGGCCCTTACCAGCTTGTTTTCTATGAGGTCACAGACAACCTTGTTGTTGAAGTACTGGATGGGGGTCCAGCGGATGCCCTCCGCAACGTACTCCTCCTGGGGGCGGGCGGGGCCGGTGTCAGGGCAAAGTTGTGTGTCGAGAATGCCCACTCCACCGGGC